TTGACCTTCAAATGACCCTTATGTAGGATATAAGCGTTGAGCGTTCCTTATACATGGTAACTAGGAAATTGTCTCCACCTTTGTTGAACAATGCAACTGAGCTTTAACATATACAGTGTATTTTGTAAGTCCTTTAGCTCTGTTTGAGCCATCTTCATTCTGTAATCAGCCTTTGTCTGTAAAACTGATTCTATAGCTCAAAGATGAACTGAAGATGTAAAACTGATTCTATAGCTCAAAGATGAACTGAAGATGTAAAACTGATTCTATAGCTCAAAGATGAACTGAAAATGTAAAACTGTATGTAGCCTACTGAAAACTGTGAAAGGAACTTCCTGAAGAAAAAAGCTATGTAAAGCTAACAATGCTTTGACTTTTAATGGCCCCCCCAGTGCAATATGGATAGACAATTATCTCTAACCATACCCATTGTTCAATGTCTGTGCAGCTTTACATGTCATTGAAGTAAATTTTCAAAATGCAGTCAATTTTTTCCCTGTGTTCAGTCCATCATTTTGAACTCTGTAGACGTTTAGTTTTGATTTGAAATATTATTAACACACATGTACTCATAACCTCAGGTAGGCTTAAACCAGTGGTTGAACAAATTGACACTTGTTCTTGTTTATATTGCGGATTTTAATATGATGTCTTGTAAGTGGTTGACATTCTAACTATACAGGAGGCTGATTTGTGCTATAATTTAGCACACAAGTGATCTAAACACAGTACTAGAGTGATTTTACATTATATGTTGGATGATAAATGGAACTGTGTGACTGTTAGGTAACCTTCATATGCTGAGTGTATATGTCTGTACCTTCCCAGGTATACGTATAACTCAATGATAGTATATCTAATAACCATGTTGCTACTTCCTTCACCATGAAATTTACTTGGATACATCACAGGTAGAATAATCCTAACATACAGAGGTGGCATGATTGCTGCAGATTAGAGGATCATTATTTAGGTACACAGTAACATACACACTGTATTTCCTTGTGTTCTTATCCACCCAGTCAGGTAAAGGTCAACCCACCATTGCATTTATATTGATACACAAACCTATCACAAAATATCTACAAATACCTGTGTAGAGTTACACTATCAACAAAGGATATAAACATTAGTATGGTACTGTGTAAATGTTCTACTCAGGGTAGTGACTGCTAAGACATGTATTAGCTATGGCTTATTTCATGTTTGAATATCAAATTTAAGAGATGTATTAGTCCTATAATAATAATAATACTGGACGCAGGCATAATGCATATATCCAGATCACAAAGTTTAACATCAGTTTATATGATGACGTCCCAAAGATGAATAAGTTCATTATTATCTATCTCGTGGTTAAAAAAGCATTCAGGTTGCCCCCAATGTTTATCCAATCGGGATTCAAATGATTTGACTGTTGGTGATGTAACTACAGCATCTGGAAGAGAGTTACAAGGATTAACAATCTGCTCACTGAAATAATATTTCCTCAAGTTTAGTCTACTCCTTCATTTTATAAGTGTCACACTGTGTCCTCTTGTTCTTTTGTTATTATTTGGAATTAAAAATCCTTCTGTGACAACTCTATCATATCCTCCATGTGTTAAGTTATATACTTGGATCATGTCTCCTCTCAACCTCCTATATTTCAGTGTAGGTAAATCCAGAATCCTCAGTCTGTTTTCATAGCTTAGATCTTTCATTCCCGGTATTTGTTTTGTTGCTCTTCTCTGTACATTTTCTATTTCATTTATATATGTTTGTAAATATGGATTCCATACCCAGGCCCCATATTCCAGATGTGGCAGGTTACAGTGCTTTATATAAAAGACAGAATGTTGTATCATCTAAATATGTATAAGTTCTTCGGATGGTCCCCACTATTTACTTTGTTGACTGCATCATGAATATGTTGTTGAAATTAAGGTTGTTGTCAGTTATAATTCCAAGATCCTTTTCTTTTGTTAAGTTCTCTAGTTAGTGATCTCAACTCTTCCATTTAATTGTGTTTTATATAAATGTAGAGCCCTGTAATATGCCTTCTTTCCTAATTGCAAAACTTTGCATTTGTCCGGATGGAATTTTAAAAGCCAGGTCATTGATATAAATTACAAAGAGAGTCGGCCCTAAAACACTTCCCTGGGGGATACCACTTGTTACCTCCATCCATTTTGGCATTTCTCTGTAGTGCAAGAACTGTTTGGATTGATCCTCCTTGGTCGATAACTTCTGTCCACTCATCAATAACAGTCAGCAACTGTAAAATAGTTTAACTTCCTTTAACGAATCCATATTATGTTTACTTAGAAGATTATTTTTTTCTAGATGATCCATTATTCTTGTCCTTACAATCTTTTCCATAGTTTCACATATTACGCTTGTCAAACTTACTGGCCTATAATTTCCTGGCATCTTCTTGTCCCCTTTTTTGTGTATTGCAATTACCCGACCTTCCTTCCAGCTAACAGGAAGTTCTCCTGTTTCCAGTGAACAGTTTAATATTTTGCAGAAAGGGGTCTTTAATATGTCTGCTGTTTCTTTCAATACTTTGGGTGAATATTATCTGCTCCTGGTGATTTTGTGGGATTCAATGTTTTTAAAATTTTAAATACTTCTAGCTCTGATATTTCAGTAGTAATGAATGGACTTTCTATGGTAAGATCTTTCAGTACTGGGATACATTTTACCTTGTGGTTCGACTGTGCATTAGCCTTATCTTGATCAGTTGGAGCGATTGTAGTTTCGTTTCCACACTTAATGTGCAGCTCTGCCAGGTTCCTAATTTTGATTTCTCCAAAACTTCTTGGGGTTAGTCTTAACCTCTTGCCCGATATCCTTTTCTATACTTCTTTTGCATGTCCGTACCAAAGTTTTTACCTTGTTTCTGGCTTTCACATATCCGTTGTATTTCCCTATTTCTCTTGTTTCAAGATATCTCTGAAGCTCCTGTGTTTCCGTTTTATAGCCTGTACAGTTTGGTTATCTGGAGGATTCTGATTTTTCTTTGTTTCTGGGATGCTTTTTGGAATATGTCTATCAATTGCGGATTTAATTATCTTCTGAAACATTTGGTACTTTGATCTTGTACCCGCTGTGCTGCTTTTTATTTCCTTCCAGTTTATCGATAGTTCTTTTCTTATTTGTTCGTAATCCCCTTTGTTGTAATTATACTTAGTTGTTTTGCTAAATCCCTGTGTTTTTGTACAGTTCAATTAAAAAAATACAGTGCCATGATCACTCTTTCCTAGTCCGCTTTTTATTTCAATGCTCTTATTCGTGTTGGATTCCTTATGTGTTGAAACAGAAATGCATCTTTGGCCGATTTGAGGAATTCATATTTCAAATGTTTTGCCCCTCTAGACGGAATCCACTGATTCCAATCTATATTTATAAAATTAAAGTCCCCCATTATTATTAAGTGGGATGTTTTTACTTCCACTATATCGGTAAGTAGCGTGTATAAATCTATATTATTTTCGTCTACGCTGTTTGGACTTCTATAGAGGCATCCAATTGTTAAGGTGTTTCCTTTATCAAGGTTAATTTTAATCCACAATTGCTCATTAAATATTTTGTTAATTGTTATTTCCGTGGCTCCTAGATTATGTGCCGTGTATATGATGATTCCTCTCGATCCATTTTCTTGTTCTATCTCCCCGGGAAATACTTCAAATCCATTGATATACAACTCGGACTTGTTTAAGTCTCGACTACCCCAATGATATCTTACTTCTACTCTCTGTTCATCTATTTTGTTTGTGAGTGTGTCTGCATTTGTAAACATACATCGGAAATAGTCCAATTTTATTATTCAATTACATATTTTATATTATTCAGTTTATATATACAGTATATGCAATGTACATGTATATACATGGTTTGGTCAAAGTTTTGTTCACAGTACATGCATAGAGTAGTATTAACTAAAACATTCTCAGCCGATCATATAAGATTGTTTTGCCAAATTAATTTAGAAATTGAAACCATGTATTGCAGATATTGATTTGAACAGAAAGAAGCTGATAAACATTTGTGTATTATGTGGTAAAACCAACAATGCCAGCAGTATTCAGAATGTCTAACAAATAGAGGTCATTGGATCTTCTTTCCAGTCATTTTAAATGATATATAAGCTGGTACATGCTGCTTAGTGACTAGTGGTAGTAGAAGAGAGTACTGATTGGATGGTGATGTAAAATAGTGGCCCTGTGTTTGAGGCTTCGTCATAGCTGAAAGAACTGTTTCTGTTCTATTTGACCTGTCAAAAGTCAAAGAGGTCTAGCCTTTAGCCCTTTCACCACTAATACTGTAGACCATAATGGACTCATCCATATCAATGCATGGTAGAGTCTACTAAAGTTACATAGGGGTGAAAGGGTTAATTACAGTGTAAATATGAGTACATGCTAACCCATTATAATCTACACAAACTTGTTTAGTGCCCTTTATTTCCTGATTTTCTCCTGTTCAAATGATGATTTTATTTTTGAGAAAGTCATTTCAAGCAATATAAACTTTTCCGTGAACCTTCTTCTGTCCTATTCTAGTGAATAAAATTTGGTATACATGTATAGGCCCAATAATATTCATATGGACATATATAAGGTGCATCTTTCATTTGATTATTAAGTTGAAAACAAAATTTACAGTTTGGTAAAACATATTTTTTCTATCTATACCAAAATCAGACTACCAAACACTTCGGGTCAAATTTCATCATTGGGTGTATGTGGGGCAAAGTATCATACATTGGTTTAACAGAAGAAAAACAAAGAAACCATTCCTTTGACCCCAAATTATAAAAGGTTTGATTTTCATGACATCATTTGTAAACTGAGGCTGACGAGAGGGGTAGACATGATGCTGTAATATAGATATATACCACTAGCAAAATAGGGTCATCTACAAGTGATCAGCAACTCGCGCAATCGCTGAAATGAAGATCCTTAACCAGTTACAGTTTTTATCTGCATTTCTATTCTAATATTTTGTTGTTGCAGGGGAAGCAATATTCCAGATAGCAGAGGCTCAGAGAGACATTCAAGCAAGAATAGAAGAAAGTGTAAGTCCCTCCAAGTTGTTATATTGTTTCATCTTTGAGAATACATTCTGTCATTGAGGATAATATATGAGGAAACATTCTCTCCTTGAAGATATATTTTCTCACGCAAATTGTGTGTACATATAGTTCTGAAGCAGTTTATGATTGAGAGAGGGGGACAACTAGAGCTTTCTTATTACCAATAAAACAAGAAACAGACAGTAAAACCTTGTTATACTGCCATTTTTTTATAAACAAAACTTTGGATATTAAAGAAGGTTTTGACAATAAATGTACATCTAGTGGGACATATAAAGGAAATGTTATGACGAAAGGAACAAAAGACATTGAAATATGTTTCCAGTCAGGTGACAAATGAAACGAACGGCGTTATAGCAAGATTTTCTGTAGAAATACCTGTATACCCTTTGAATAGGATACTTAAGTTTCACCTTCGAACTGGATACTTCAGTAACATGAACAACTGGTAATCTCAAAACTAGTGTTATCTGAAGACAGTAACTAATTTGTTTACTCATCAACCTTGAGCTGATTAAGGAAATCAAATAAAAGTATTCCTATTACGACTTAATTATTAACATGTAAGAGTGGGTGTTTTTAACATGTTCTGCAATACCCTGTCCTGATAGCCCACAGTCCTGGCCATGGTTCAGTGTGTGAAAGGTGGCTTCTCTCAGTGTTTATTATGATATTTGTCATGTATAGGGATATTAAACCTGTCATCAACTTGTGCCACCAACCAGTCCACCCACCTTCCCACTGTTTACCATTAACTTCTACCACTACCGGTATAGTAGCTAATTTCTCTTCCATTGTTACTGGTAGTTGTGTATGATATTTCAGATGCCCATATGGAACAGAATGTGGGAGTAAGATAACATAAAGTTAATGTCCGAGCTTAGAAAATCTGACAGCTTGCAGATGTTGTGTGAAAGCTGTGTCATATTAATATGTCTTTTATTCAAAACTTAACTCACAAAACATTGTTGTTTACTGCTTCTCACTGATGCCACTATGGTATACAACATAAGATAGAGGAATTATAAAGAATTTGTGAAAGTTGTTCGTGTGAATTAAAAAATCCACTTGGAATATTTTCAATTTCCACTTTTAAGATGAAGAGGTGACTTAAGGTGCTGAACAGTATCTATATTGGCAGAACACCAATATAGCAGTTCATTAACATTTTGAAATGGTTGCTACTTGCAGGGTTTCATGTCAAACTTTATATACACAGTATGCATGTCAAATTTTATTTTTTACTTTGCTTAAGGATCCTTGTATCATTGCCAAAAAGTTGTAACTGTGCATTGGAAACCTCTTTACTGGTATAACTAGTAAGCTTTGGGAAATCCTATCTGCTTAGAAGTTAACCATACTTTGCACAGAACTTTTACGAGTTTTTTTTAAATTAACAAAAAGAATACAAAATAAAATAAAAATTCTGAGAATAAAATTGCAAAGAGGCCAGACCAGGGTTAGAACACTGGACCTCCAGTCATTAAGCTACATGGTTACCTGTAGTACCCTGGCTTATCCAAAATGAAGAAAAAGGGGAGGTAACTGTGTATACCAAAAGCTACAATGGCATTATATTCTCTGGTGTTTTGACTGTAGTGGGACATGTATCCTTAAATGTACGAACTATGAAAATGTATGAAAGATATGTGTGTGCAGTAATTATTTGTTTATGTGCATATAAGCAAAGAATTTCGGAAAGATTCTGAATCAAGGAGTCAACTCCATCATTATGTATATACTATAGTATTTATTCTAAAACCATTGATTTCCCAGAATAACTCTTTTTCTTGGAAATTGTCATATTGCAAGAACAAAAAGTATGATTAAAAAAAACCATGATGAAAGTTTATCTTGTTTGCACATCATGACTGTTTTATAAAATGATTATGCAACATTCTGAAACTTACGTGTTGCATTTACCTCTTCACATCACGTCTTTATATAGAACGTGACAAATTTCAATTTCCAGCTTTGGCAAATTTCCCTATCTCAGCAGGAGTGATGATATTTTAGTTGTCCTGTCTGTCTGCTTACCTAGGTTTTAATACAGCTGAGGCGTTTGTCTGCATCTAGTATCAGTATATATCATATTATTGCAAGGTGCAGTATGTGCAGTTGTGATAATTTGTACGTGTCGACAAAAAAAACCATAATCTATCAGATCAATTAATCCATAATGAACGCAACTGTCTGTTTCTGTGAAAACAGTTTTTATCATCGAATATGCTGAGAGTCGCACAGTGGCAGCATAAATTTAAATCAAAGATGAAATGTATGAAGCAGAGCTGGGCTAGGTTACAATGACCAGGAAGCTCCACTGGTTAAGAGTGTCTGTTTAGAAGCTGGAGGAGGTCTCCGGTTTAGAAGCTGGAGGAGGTCTCCGGTTTAGAAGCTGGTGGAGGTCTCCGGGTTAGAAGCTGGAGGAGGTCTCCACTTTAGAAGCTGGAGGAGGTCTCTGGTTAAGAAGCTGGAGGAGGTCTCCGGTTTAGCAGCTGGAGGAGGTCTCCGGTTTAGAAGCTGGTGGAGGTCTCCGGGTTAGAAGCTGGAGGAGGTCTCCGGTCTAGAAGCTGGAGGAGGTCTCCGGTTAAGAAACTGGAGGAGGTCTCTGGTTTAGAAGTTGGAGGAGGTCTCCGGTTTAGAAGCTTGAGGAGGTCTCCGGTTTAGAAGCTGGTGGTCGTCTCCGGTTTAGAAGCTGGTGGAGGTCTCCGGGTTAGAAGCTGGAGGAGGTCTCCGGTTAAGAAGCTGGAGGAGGTCTCCGGTTAAGAAGCTGGAGGAGGTCTCCGGTTAAGAAACTGGAGGAGGTCTCTGGTTTAGAAGTTGGAGGAGGTCTCCGGTTTAGAAGCCGGAGGTCGTCTCCGGTTTAGAAGCTGGTGGTCGTCTCCGGTTTAGAAGCTGGTGGAGGTCTCCGGTTTAGAAGCTGGAGGGGGTCTCCGGTTTAGAAGCTGGAGGACGTCTCCGGCTTAGAAGCTGGGAGAGGTCTCTGGTTTAGAAGCTGGGGGAGGTCTCCGGTTTAGAAGCTGGAGATCGTCTCCGGTTTAGAAGCTGGAGGTCGTCTTCGGTTTAGAAGCTGGAGGTCGTCTCCGGCTTAGAAGCTGGAGGTCGTCTCCGGTTTAGAAGCTGGTGGAGGTCTCCGGGTTAGAAGCTGGAGGAGGTCTCCGGTCTAGAAGCTGGAGGAGGTCTCCGGTTAAGAAACTGGAGGAGGTCTCTGGTTTAGAAGTTGGAGGAGGTCTCCGGTTTAGAAGCTTGAGGAGGTCTCCGGTTTAGAAGCTGGTGGTCGTCTCCGGTTTAGAAGCTGGTGGAGGTCTCCGGGTTAGAAGCTGGAGGAGGTCTCCACTTTAGAAGCTGGAGGAGGTCTCTGGTTTAGAAGCTGGAGTAGGTCTCCGGTTTAGAAGCTGGAGGTCTCTGGTTTAGAAGCTGGAGGTCGTCTCCGGTTTAGAAGCTGGTGGAGGTCTCCGGGTTAGAAGCTGGAGGAGGTCTCCGGTCTAGAAGCTGGAGGAGGTCTCCGGTTAAGAAGCTGGAGGAGGTCTCCGGTTAAGAAACTGGAGGAGGTCTCTGGTTTAGAAGCTGGAGGAGGTCTCTGGTTTAGAAGCTGGAGTAGGTCTCCGGTTTAGAAGCTGGAGGTGGTCTCCGGTTTAGAAGCTGGAGGTCTCTGGTTTAGAAGCTGGAGTAGGTCTCCGGTTTAGAAGCTGGAGGTGGTCTCCGGTTTAGAAGCTGGAGGTGGTCTCCGGTTTAGAAGCTGGAGGACGTCTCCGGTTTAGAAGCTGGAGGTCTCTGGTTTAGAAGCTGGAGGAGGTCTCTGGTTTAGAAGCTGGAGGAGGTCTCCGGTTAAGAAACTGGAGGAGGTCTCTGGTTTAGAAGTTGGAGGAGGTCTCCGGTTTAGAAGCCGGAGGTCGTCTCCGGTTTAGAAGCTGGTGGTCGTCTCCGGTTTAGAAGCTGGTGGAGGTCTCCGGGTTAGAAGCTGGAGGAGGTCTCCGGTTTAGCAGCTGGAGGAGGTCTCCGGTTTAGAAGCTGGAGGAGGTCTCTGGTTTCAATCCAGGTCTGGCCCCATTATATTTTTCTTGTCTTGTTACATATCAGTCATATTTTCATGAAACGTTTGGAGAAAATTCAAGCAAAAATGATAGTTGACCAGTCAGCTATCTGATATCACATGTAAAATTAGTCTGAAATAACTTACTATATCTTTATAATATCAAAAGTTTTTTTTAAAGGGAATTAATTGCTATTTTGGACCAATGAAAATCTTTTAAACTACTTATGATGAAGTCATTTTACAACTCAAGCAGGTTTATTTTGTTTTGCCTGGTTATGAATTGTAAAGTTTAATTAGGACCGTCATGATCGTGCAAGGCCATACCTGTCTGAGGTAAGATAAAAATGACTAGACTATTCATTACCAGCTTGGCCGACAGCAAACCTCCTACCCATTGGTAACATGCTAATGGAATGAAATGTGTTCTGATCAAACAGCTGACGTATACATCACGACAGACTTTATTTACCTGTGTTTACCTGGCAGGTTTATGTAATGGACTCTCACATCTGTTTATTATATATTTGATAAATTGTTAACAAACTAAATACACTCAGTGTTGAAATCTCAAATACCAGACAGGAAACATACTGTACTGTCCCTTGTAGTTTATACCCATGGCTGGAGATTTTATACATTTTATTTTCATCCTTAGAACACAAAGCAATGTACTTAGGCTTACAGGTAAAATCCACTCTTAATGATTTACCGCATTTGACCTAATAAGGGCACAAATCGCAGATAAACATTGAGTGTGGCACTTTTATTGACACATTTTTCTTCAATCAATGTATCTAGTAATTACTTTTGTTCACCACAGCCGAGACATGAAGGTTTCTTAAGTCCATTTTTAAGTTGTATTCTTTTGAAAGATTGTATTGGATGTCTATATACACAACCTTTGTATGACCTGGTACTGCTCACCACAACAATAATCAATAACTTA